GGGGGGAGAGCACGAAAATAAGGCAGGGTCTACAAAATTTCTAAACTGCGAAACGAAAAATAAACGATCAGAAATTGTTGGTCTGCTTCGTCCAACTTCCGGTTCATAACAAACCAGCTGTCCTCACCAAAAGGTCACTTCAAAGCGCATACCCCTTTAATGGGAACTCGTGTAATGAGTGAATTCTCCCACGACTCATCGTCTCCAGGTCTAAATGAAAATGAAAATGCTGTACGAATTCGGCGTGACCTAAATCTAGGGTTTGATGGAGAAAGTACGCCACGAATACCAGTGCAGACACCACCATCGTCGAATGGAATCCAGTCACACACCGGTTGGTGAACATGGCAAATTCTCGTTTCCTTTGCCTTTACTAAATTCTGCAGTTTCACTCTGAATTATCAAACATTTCATCCTTTGAAAATATTTTATGCTTATTATTTTTTCAACTGTTATAACTTATCTGAATAGTAAAGCGATAGATCTATGTGTGTTGATACAGCAGTAGCTTTGGCTTTGGGTGGACGTGATCGTGTTGGATTGATTCTGATTGAAAGTGTAACTTTCGTTTTCATTGATGATTGCTCTGGCCCTGGACTTTGAAATTTGTGATTGTAGTCAGCAGATCTAGATCTAGATCTAATCTAGATCTAGATCTAGATCTAGCAGAGTAGGCCTACAATACTGAATACTGTTGCAGGCAGGGCTTTTGCTTCTTTGATTTTCTCCCTACCAGACTGTTTTCGTCATTGTGTCCTAGACTCTAGACTCTAGTTTGAAAAGAGGAACCAATTGTTTGATGCAGTGGTTGATCATTGATGTAAAAAAAGATACTTTTTTTTGTTCTACACTTCTTCAGAATTGACTTCATAGGCCAGCTCTATTCAGACTCGAGTCCAATTAGCCTAGATTTTTTATCTATTTCGACTCGAGTCCGAATGGAATTTATCTATTCGGACTCAGGTTCCAAAAAAGTGTTTTATTTATTCGGACTCTGCTTCATAGTGAATGTGAGTGTAAGGAGGTTACATATTATAACTGTCATCGGGGGATTTTACGTAAAACCAGAATTTTAACTAGATTTACCTACTACTAGGACTGTGTAATGGTGTCAAAAGTCAAAAGACTGCACTTTCATTGCCAATGGCAGTGTCTCAGTACACGCCAAACGACTACTCAGGGTCTTCCACCACCACTACAGCATCATCATTACTTCCACCACCATAAAATTTGTCTTTCTACATGTTGAATTTCATTTTGTTGTGTGTTATAGTTTATGTGTAATTTTTTTTTTTTAATCACATCGCACAAAATTGACAGCAGTGGCCTCTTCCCAACACCTCTTTCCCCCAACAAGCGGAGAGTGTTTATCGCTATGTATACACGCAATCTCTTCGTTGATATAATTAACTTTGTCCCTGGCAAGGTCAACTCAACTTGGTTGTTCTGTTCATTCTAATGATGCAGGGAGTGCCACTGAGTTTAGTCTCAGTTTAGATAGATCTAGTAACTGGATATATTAAAGCTCTCGTCTCGATATGATTATAGGCCTCGAAAAAATTTTCATAAAAATTCTCTGACTATTTAGGAACAAGGGTCAGAAGTCGGAACGGATGTCATGCTGGACTCAATTCAGAGTCCGAATATAATTTTTGTCTATTCGAACTTGAGTCCGAAGTCACTTCATCATAATAATTGGTCAAGTAATTATTGACATATATATATGTAATTGGAAGGCAAATAATTTTGGGCAGTCTTTGGTTTTGGCCTTGATAAGTGAACTGGGGGTAAATATTTACTTTCAATCCCGCATACAGATGCGCTGCTTTATTTGTCAAACTGCAATATTTTTTGTTGCAGGTCATAGTACCCACTAAAACTGTCGCAAATCAATTTATTTTCAAGAAAGTTTCAAACATGACTGTAAAACATCAAATAATTGGTCAAAACGCCCCCGACTAGTCCAAAGTTCAGAAATTACTACACAGTTAAAGGCTGAATGTGATGTAGTTCCATTAAAAACCATAAAATATTTTAAAACCTATTAATTTGTGACGGAAATGAAGTCGATATATATATTCGTGTTCAGCACATCAATATTAGAAAATTGACACACATGGGTAGCTGAGTGTGAAGCGGGAGGGAAAGTAGAAGATCACAGATCATTTGAAGATCATTTGAAGATCATTTGAAGACCATTTGAAGACCTGCTAGATAAGGCGTTGTTTTCAGTGGGGACATAGAAATATTTGCAATGAGTAATGATTTTAGGGTTGGGCTGAGAATGCAGGTATGCCTCTGTGGTCAGGTCAGTACATTTTCTAGCCAATCACTTATCCTTGGCTTGAATCAGCACCATCAAAGCTGGTGAGATTTTGTCTTTTTATCGACATGATAGGCAGAATGATGATCACTCTACCCTTCATTTATTTTGCTTCTTTCTATTTTATTTGTCAAGCACCCTATCTATGATGAAGCTGTCCAAGGCAGACTTTATTGTCTTTCTCTTTAGATATTGCTTCAGACAGATTTGACTCTAGATTGCAATAGATAGGCCGCCTACATTGTGTCATGCTCATCATGTAAAATTTGAAACTGTTTTATTATGACCTGCTAATATTTGAGAATGTAATGTCATCTTTCTTTAACAGATCAGGTTCAGAAATTGGCTGGACTTAGCATTGGATTTTGCAGGTATGCTGTGGTATAGGTGTTTTTTTTTGTGTGTATAGCTTTCAACAAAATGCTTTCTTTTGCATCATGTGCTTGAAATGTACAAGCAAGTATATAACGTCTTACATTTTTTTGCTATTTAAAAATCTATGTTAGATTCACAAGGCCTTATATTGTTATGAAATTACTGATTGTGTCACTCTAAAATCTTGTCCATTGCAAAATATACTTTTGTAACTTATATTTGTTACTGTAATGTCTTTCACCCTGATATCCTTTTCATTTTTGTTCACTTTTTGGGAAATATGAGATAAAGGAATAGTCTCATTTTCATTGTACACATGACCCCTGATAAAGGATTTTGGCGGAAGAAACATACCTTATGTGCATAGTACCTCCGCATCTAAACGGTGTAGTCTCCAGTTGACAATAAACTTTTATATCTCAGAAAGAGGATAACATCGGTGGAATAATGTACTAAGCCCAGAAAGGAAAATTTTACAGAAGAGAGAAAAAGACCTGTTTTATTCTATTAACAATTGTATAAAATTGCTTTTCAGCATTTAGAATTTGAATTTCTGCAAAATTATTTCTTGAGCACATGCGTCATGCGACCTTTGCCACATATTAAGAAACAGCAATTTTATTTTTCAATTCAAAATTTTGGGCTTACTAAACTTGAGCAGGTGTCCAATGACAGGTTGGATTGATATAGATATAATATACATGTTTCTTTTTGCACAACAGTAATTTGAGGTCAACTACTTTCAAACTCTAATTCCTTAATTAACTCAGTTTATTAAATCTTGCTAGTTGTACGGGGTCTTCTTTTGTTGTATGTGCATGTAAAAGCTTCCTTTGCACTAACCCTAAGTCTCACTTGTTATTTTCAGCATCTTCGCAGAACAGTTACTTTCCCATCCATGCATTGTGCTACGAAGACAGTGTCAGGTAGGATGAAAAGAAAACTGCCTCATACATTCTAAATTTCTCTTTATTAAAATAATTTGTGCATGTTACTATATATCCGTATATAAAGACTGCCCGAGAATATAATACCACTTGAACTTATCGGTCTATGTGAGGTTTTTTTCATGTTAAGTGTTTTCATGTCTAATGCAAATAATTATTCAGAAATCTCTATATTGGAAAGTCAAGTATATTTTTCCCTTGTTTCAGTCGCAAGGCTAACTTTCTCCTTTGTTTTCGAAGAACTCTGCTGTGTTCTTGTACAATCTTGATTTTTTTTGGTGCTTACTTTTTTACTTTTGTTAATTTGTGACCATGGGAGGATGTCAGTAATCTGTTATCTTCTCAATGTATAAGTTCAGGTGCTCTCCTTCCCTGCCAATTCGCTCTCCAAATTCAGCCAATACCAATCAAGACATTATGCTTGTTTGTCGACTTGAGTATATCTTTTTATGTCCATGTTGAATTTATTTCCATTAAAATAAAGAATCAGCTCAATATAATCTTTTGTGTATGTCATTGCTTGGTTCTGACAGGTTCATCACGGTGGTTCCTGGCATCACCTGACGCCCATTTCCCTGGTCCAGATTGTGATCAATATTCAAAGGACTCAGGTAAAGGAAAACACAGGTCTACACCGTTTACTGTATCTTTACCCCCCTCCCCCCCCCCCTCCTTATATTAACACGAGGTTGATACCCCACAGTTTGGTAACTTTCATTTAGAGAATGTTTAATTTTTCGCTGTGTTGGAAAAAACAGTCAGTAATATTGATTATGTCCTTGCTTTGTTTTGCATACACTTGCAGTATCTACACATTTTGATATACTGATCATGTAGTCATACAATCAATTTAAATGCTCCCACATCGTAACCAGTCAGCACAGTGCACATCCATAGTTGGACCTATTAAACTGGAGTGAACAGGCCAATGGTATAAATGATTTTTTTTTTCAAATAAATGTCAAATGCTCAAAAAGCTGAGGTACAGGTGTCAAGTCCTTTGGACTGATGTGCTATTGGGGTTTTACATATAATCACCCTTTAAACCATGTAAAAGAGATATCTATAAACGTTGGTCCTGCTCATATTCTGGGAATTTTGTACTGATTTTTAAATTTATATAAAATTGTGACAATTTTTGTGTGCTGTTTTACATATATATGATAATCTTTCTCAGGGTGGCTTGGTGTTATGGAAAGGCCTTGGTGGTGTGTACATTGTGAAAGGAATTGGAATTGTATCAGAGAGCCTTCTCAGTGAAGTCACTACATTTCCAAGGCAAGTTGCTTCCCTCTTATAGAATCTAGTGTAATCTGCCTTTACCTAAGTCCTCTACAGGATATGAAATGAGTGATTGGTACAGAACCTTGCTGCAACACGAGGTCCATGATAGCCCACGCCAGTCGGGAAGGCACCGGGTGATGATGACAGAACCTTAAATCAGAAGACTGTAAGATCTGGTAGTTGTGCACATAGGAACATAATGCTTGTATGTCTTTTCAGTCCCAAACTGGGCGTTATTGTTAGATTTTTATAGTAGGAGACATAGCTTCTGTTTCGTTCTGATGGTTCAAATCCATTATTTAGGTATTTCTAAATTTACATTTTATTGTGAGTTTGCAAGGCTGTCTGCAGTTCCATGATACCATACTTATCGTATTGGAGATGTCAAGCACATGGATAGCCTGTTCATATTGTTTCTCAGACTGTTGTCTTAATTTCAGGCTGAACATTGTTCGCTGTTGATATCGTAATAGGGTTTTTAATAAGCTATTACAGAAGTCGTATGTACTTTACTTACTGTTGAGAATATTCTTGGACTAATGTGCTGACAGTGATAATAAGAGGCTGTCGTGCACTCCTTTTATTTGATAATGAGATGGACTTTAGCAATATTGTTACTTTTCATTAGTTCCATTTTGTTTCATATTTTGAACAGGGAGGTTTCCAGAAGAAGTACTTTGAAAAAGTATGGTGGACATTTATTGTTGAAAAGGTAAGGTTAAAAAATGTGTCATTTGCTGTTTTTGAACCTGAGGCAGTTTAATTGCTTTGTCTATGAAATAGAGAACTGTGTGTGGTTTATAGTTGTGAAAAGCAGATCAAGGCATATTTGCTCTGTGCTAGTGATGCTCATCTGTCAGGTGTATTCCATCCTGTTCCCTCTACATAAACCAACTCATGTTTGTTTGGTGACCTTCCAGAGGCACAATGTTCTATTTCATGGATTCAGGAATTGAAATTGTGATCTATTCCATGAACAGTCCATTTGTTGAAGGGCACCACATTAGTGTATGTTGTAACTTTGTGTGGTCATGGCAGATTATTGTTTAGTGAAAAGGTTTACTGACATGCAAATATTGTCTTAATTAGATGCAGCGTGAACGTATCAACAGGTGTACTATCTATTTTTACAGTTGAATGCAGTGAGTTTTCTGTTGCCCAAAAACTTAGTAGATATTATGTGGACGGAGGAAAAGCACAAACGATATATGTACATGTTCATGTCTGAGGAGCAAAGAAATAAAGCTTGCAATTATGATCAAGAAAATTGAAAAACCAGAAAATGTTCACCTGTGCATTTGTAGAAGATGCCACTGTAGTTACAAACACGAAAATTAAGATAATACTGGAAAATGCATCAGCTGCATATTTGTGGTAGTTGGTACTGTACTGATTGACTAAAACTAAAACAAGTATTTGAGAAAACTATTGTTCTGTTCTTGTACTTTATTGTCTGCCTGTAATCAGGTTTTATTTTTACTTCACAGTCTTGTGTTTGCCCTCTCGACGCCATTTTACACTGCTAGTCTTATTGAAACTGTACAAGTAAGTATAAAGTCTTGAATTTTTCTTCTAATGAATGTTCATGTGTATGGTGTATTAATGAAATATTTGGCAGTGAAAATGTTTGACTTGTTCTTTGACGTTTCATTTTTCATTCCATATTTGAATTTGAAGGATTGTGGGAATCTATTATTCTGTCGTAAATTTTAGCTTGTTAAAGCTATTGAAACTTCAGTTAGTTCCTTCAGAGTAGCTTTTTTGATGTTATTGTAAGTATGTATTTATTAAATTTGTGTGTGTGTGAGTGGTTTGCTCCTTCTTTCTTACCAAACATCTATCGTCCTGATTTCTCCTCTTTCTTTTTTGTGTTTGTTACTCTCTTGTAACACCTCTAATCTTCGGCACTTATATGACCTTATTTGTGTTGCGGTGCCGTAAAACTCTTACTAAACTGTGCATGTGTGTGTGTGTGTGTGTGTGTGTGTGTGTGTGTGTGTGTGTGTGTGTGTGTGTGTGTGTGTGTGTGTGCCTATTTATGTGTGTATATTTACATATTACATAATTCTGGTGGCCTGATCTTTTCGTCACTTTTTAGAAGAAACTACACACTTTTCAGATGTCAAAAAATGTTAATGAAGGTATAATTCAATATTCCTAAGAGCATGACAGGGCTGGATTTTCATGATTTTGAACTTAACGGCCCAAATGTAGTGGCAGTCAAAAGCAGTTTTTGAAGATGTAAGCCCTAAGCTTTAGGTTTTCCTGCTGAAGGCATGGCAGCAGCTACTTATAGAATGCTTCAGAATGAAGCCACTGGTTTTTTATTGAAGTTTTGAAAAATGTGTTTAGTATAGGCTCATAGCTTCACGGGTAAAAGCAAATGGGAATCCCCAACATACCTGACTTACTGCTGATGCTATGTATTGAAAATTATTTTTTAGCGAGATGCTTTTGTAAAGAAATTAACCCTTCAAGTCCAATACTCATCAATTGTTAAGACTTCGTATGCAACAATTGGGTGTATTCTTGAGAAATCCACCCTCTTGCGGTTTCAAAAGCTTAATTTTAAATTTATATATGATGCTTTTTAGAGGAAAGAATCGAACAGTGAAGACCTGTGTGTGTGTGTGTGTGCCCGCTTGCGTGTGCATGTGTGTGTGTGAGTGTGAGGGGGGATTGGTGGGGGGGGGCTATCAAATTTTAAAAATTTTCACTTTTGGACCATTGCTGTTGAATTAAGTTTGTACTGTTTTGAATTGTTTTAAGACATTGCTAAAGCTAAGCTTGTGGGTCCTTTTGGTTGATGTAGCTGTGTATTATTTTTGTACACATTTGAATTATTCCTCAGTAGAGAGTAATACACGGCACACCGGCAGTGGAATTTTAGTTACCGCGGGGGGTTCCCCGCCGGGCGCCTTATCATGTCGGGGTCACGGGGGTCAGCTCCCTGTCGCCGCTCTGTCTGGGCCGACTGAATTTTTAGTACTTTTCAACGTACAATTTAAGGTGTATCCTTGTATTTATGGTAATTCTCATTTAGTGCACCCAAAGCACGCATTTCTGCTCTTGAGACTCAAAAAAGAACGGACGTTGTAACTTGTCTGGTTATTTCGTTAGACGCGCTGGAGTCGGCAATGCTAAATTGTAATTTTTTTGGGACTAGCGTGAATGAAAAAAAATCAATATAAAAAAAACGCATCGTCAAAATCTGTCGAACTTTTGGAATATGAACGACATAACATTAGTGGAGATACTCAGAAAAGATGGTATCTGCGCTTATAATAGAAGGCTGTAATTTTGCAATTTTATCCATCGGGCACACAATTCGCTATGAAGTAATTCCTCCAAATACAACTTTATGTGTCTAATATAATCATGAATATTCGCATATTTTCTCGAAAGTTTATAAAAGTTATCATGAAGTTTCTCAATGAAAAGTACAAATCGATTTTAGTGCTAGAATATATCTTCAACGTAGATCTAATACACGAACAGTATCTGTTACACTCCAGAAATTGCTTACTTTTCTTAAAACGCTAAGTCTAGGTTTTGTAAGTTGACTGAATAATAGGGATGACTTCTCGTAATTGGGTTATAAGAATAATTTCTAGCTTTCCAGGGACACTGAATCAGCACCAGACTTTTCCAGCTTTTTTTATGTTTCTATATATGACCATTTGCAATAACTGACAATGTGACTGATTTCTTTACATTCATAATTGTGTCCGCGCATATTTCCTACACAAAAACTAATAATGAATGTTTTAGCTGTCATTATTTTTATTCCATACTGGAAGTTTATCTCTACCCATGTATTTACACGGTTTTGTGGTTTTTTAAATCGCTTATATTATATCTTTTTAGTTGTATGCAGGCTGCCACAGACACAGCATGATTCATGAACAAACGCAGAGTAACTTTCTCTTGTTTAATAGTAAAATAAGAGCTAACGCTGATCGTCTTTAGTTAAAATATGCAGATGTGCATCTTTCTTCTCTTATAACTTGACTATTACTACTACCGCAGATTTAAGATTTCTCATGGTAAAAGACATGATATTCGTAGTCAGTTTAACACAGAATTTGGAGAGATCTGTCGTGCCTTTTTTAAAATAACAATCATTTATTCATAACTTTGTAACTAAAATAGGACAAATTGGGTACTCTACAAACACTTGTCTAGAACAAAAACTAAGGCACAGAAACTAACCATTCTAACGCAGAATAAATCTCAAGACATTGAGCTTTTAGTACATCCGCGTAATGGTTTGCTGTGTGGGATGGGGAAGAAGTTATATCGTTTTAAACATAGTCAAAAATGCGAACTTCCCGACCGACGCTGGCAAAGTCGCCTCAGGGCTCATTAACCCCGTGACCCCGAGCAGGGGAGCTCCGGCGGGCTGCTGAGTCACGCGAACTAAAAGTAACAGAATCGGGCGAAAAGTGACGCCGTGAATAACAACTGGTGTGTAGAATATTGGTTATGCTCTTCACCTTGCTCTCAAAGGATGTGGGATTGATTTGCAGGAGGGAAAGATACTTTTGTTAAGCTTCTCTTTATTTTTGGGGGGAGTATAATGCACATTGTCTTCTTACATGATTTTTAGTTGTGTCAACAGTGGTGTTGAATATTTCCTACTAATGTTGAAAACAAAAATAATAACAAAGTGTAATGTTGATGCAAGAGAAGCTTATTCCAGCCTGACCATGTCACTTCACAGTGTGTATCAGAGCTGCCCACCATTTCAAATTTTGGTGGAATCGTTACAATTTGTGTTCAGTTTTACGAAAATACGATCGTAACATCCCTGATTCAGATTTTTTGGAAAAATGTTGGCTACCCTTACCCAGCTCCAACCTTTCTGGTGTATGTATAGGGAAGAAAAATAAAACAAACTACCAGACCCAGACAGACTATGTCACTATATCATGTGCAGCTGTTCTTACTTTAACAGTATGAACACCCTCTTTTCATGGAGCCCTTGTAGTCGATCAGTGCCACTTTGCCCTAAGGAAAACATAAGAAGTGCCAGAGTCAGGAGTAACGCAAACATTCAATTGACAAGGTGTAAAAAATTCCTGCCCTTTTGTATCATCACACCCTTGTTTACTTGACATTTGTATTATACTTCACTACAGCCCCTGTCCTTGGCACCCCTTCGAAGAAGATTTTCCAGGGGGGTTTGCGTGGCCTAGGGGTTAAGGTGTTTGCCTCTCATTCAATAGGTCCTAGGTTCGAATCCGGAGAGCGACTAAAAATGTTCTTCTCTAAAATGTTCTCCTTTCACATCCTTTCCTACTCTCTAACAATGTTCCATCGTCTGCTTTCATCCCCACTTTCTGCCTCCTCCTCTGGGCTCCTGGCTCTTTCTGCAGCCTTTCTACTGCTACTCCTTGGCTCCTTCTTACTGCTGGCTTTCAGCCACACCCCTTATCTTATGATAGGAAAGGTCTACACCTAGCCTTTTTGGACAAGGGTGAAAAATGTCGGAGGACTGGTGTGTAAGTCGCGCTCGTTAAAGATCCCTTGGTGGTTCAAAAACGATGAGTCGGCTTTGCCCCCCCTAACTCAAAATGTTTTTAATGTGGACTACGCGCTAATGTGACCTTATGCTGTTGCGAGCGCCGTAAAACACTTACCAAAACAAAAGAAAATTTTCCTGTACATGCCTTGATTTCCACAGAGTGACATTGCAAGTGAAAGGCCTGGTGTATTTGACGTGCTGTTTGAGGGTGTGGCCAGGATCGGCAGCTGGGGTGTACCCCGGACATCCCGACAGCTTCCAATCTGGCAATTGGCTCTGCCCACAGTTGTGCTGCGGCTGTCTCACTATGTTGTTAGTTCTATAGCACAGTTCACTGTTACCTCCACCATGCAGTTGGAGCAGCAAGAAATGAGGGTGAGAGTGTTAATAAAACTTACATCCTTTAGAATGTAACAAAATTGTTGGGATATTTTTTGTTTGTTTGAGGGTTTATGTTCTGATAAAAAGAAAGTGGTTCAGTATTAAGTTTCCCAGATGGCTCTCACTTGTTTTCAATATTTTACCTGGGTGGCTAATACTTTCCATTTTCCCTTCTCGGTCCCAAGAGGGATATGTGCTCACAATGCTGGACATGGATGGAAAAGAAAACTTGCCATTAACTGATTTTATTAGACTTTATTTTAGCATGATAGAATTGTCATGCACTTCATATCTGTCCCTCTGCCAAAATCCGGTATAAAAGCTGAAACCATAAGCTCAGACTCGTGCGGGTAATTAGCGAAGGATATTTTCAAAAAAGAATTGAGTGAGCTTTGTATATGCACACATCACAGAAAGTCTACCCAGAAGGTAGCCTTGTGCAAGATGTTTTGCCACTTTGCCTATAATTTGAATAAAAATTTCTGTAAGATCCCTCTAAACTTGTACAATATATGAATTGAGCTCACTGTAACAGTTGTTCCTTTATTTTTTTTTCTGTTCTTTGCACCATGTGGTGTTGATATTTTCAGCTTTTAGATACAGTGGCTGAACTTTATAAGCCAATATGTTTTGTTTGAATCTTTTATCTAACTGCAAAGAAATATTAATCTTAAGTCTTTGCTGGTTTCTAATTTGCTTCTACTCTCGTGAAAAAGTTGAAGACTGTTATTGTATGGGGCAATGAAAATGAAATTGAATTTTGCATTGAACTTCACTGAACTTCATGTAGTAGAAGCATAACATGCAAGACCTTCATAAGGGCTTTAAAAATTGTTTGCAACAAAGGTAGAAGAAAAAAGGAAGCTGGTGAAACCTCTCCACCCCAGACCTTCTCCTGTAGTCCTACTGGATAACGGGCGAGAGTATTGAAGTTCTTAATGAACGGGTTAGCTGTGTTCAGGTAGAAGTTGCCTACTGCTTCCTCATCTGCTGTAAATGCCTGTTTTCTCTTCTTTATTTTTGAAGCTTGTTCATTTATTTAGTAGAACTCTTGACTTTGGGTTTGATTTCCTGTTCGGATGTTTTGCAGGCTTTCTTCCAGGTGATACCAGAGATTGGAGATGGGTGTTGTTTTTGTAACTTGTGTTTTTGCACCTATGATTATTATTGTGTTCTGGCGAGGTTTTGTCCGCTTGCTCCTGAAGGAAGAGACTAAAAGTTTAACAGTGGAGTGAACAAGATGAAATGCTGCCTTCCATAAAAGTCAAATTGGTGTAATAGAATAGGTTGGATGAACAACAATGTAGTGAGTGAAGAAAACATATCTCATACTCACTTGTACATAATCATGTCTTTATTATTGCCACAGGGATGAGTCCTTGAGCAAGTCACATTTATTCTACTTCAAAAATAAGGGAATGATCGGCCATGGTATTTTTAATTATTTGAGTTTGTTGATTTGTTTCCCTCATTTGCTTAACCGTGTCCATACGTCGTGTTTTACTATCGTATCCATACGACGTGGGGAACTCTGTGCCACCACTTTCCAAAGAGGAAATTACTCGTTAATCCGATCCGTACGCTTTGCATAGCAGTCCGTCAAAATGATTTTTGGAGAAATACTGAAAGTTTCAAAGAGATCTTCGTACTAGAAGTATTCTAAAATGTGAAGAATACAACCTAGGGGGTACAAAATGACCCCAGGGCGTACGAATAGGGTTAAGAGGATTTTTGCAACTTGTAACTTGTTTTCCTGTAAATATGCCATCGTGAAACCTTTCTCATTAAAGGGCAGTTTTAACAGTTTTTATGCCCTTCACTTCTTTCTTTTCATCTGTCTATAGGATCAGCCAGGCCAGGGGAACAAGGAGCCGAGCTCCTACGAGGTGTACTTCCCAGAGCTGCTGGCTTCTTTCACCGGGGGAATCATGGCGGATATCATCACCTTCCCTCTGGAGACTGTGCTACATAGACTCTATGTGCAGGTAGGCAAGGGCCAGTGTTTCATCTGGTGAAAGATGGAGGACTATATTGTAGTATATCACCTGTTTTGAGGGATGGCAGGAGTCAATATTTGTAAGTTCGGGGATGTCACTCCTCTCATTTATGTATCATATGTGAGCGTGCCTGGGTAAAGGTACCAAAAGACGCATTTGTTCGAGCCGAGATATCAAGCCTGAAAGGTCAAAAATAGAATTTTTGACAGGTCAAAAATAGATTTTGACAAAAACCTAAGTTCCAATAAAAATGGATTCTTTAGCCATTAATATATCGATATTTACAAGGACTTGAGTTTCTTTTATTTTAAAATACATTTTTTAAAGATGTTTTTTTAACACGAGGTAAATTGGTTTTCTGAGTAAACACTGCAGATGGTTTCTCTCGTCCATTCATAAAGTCAACTCAATCACAATCATCATCATCATCATCATCATCATCATCATCATCATCATCATCATCATCCAGTGCCAGATCTGCGACAGACATCGGCGATCATGGTTCTCCATTCATTCCTTTTTCTCGGATGCTCTCAAAAAAGCTACGTTTCCCTGATCTTTCCCTGTTACCCATTTGTTAAGGTTCCCTAAGTATGTTGTTCTGGGCCTTCCCTTGCCTCGCTTGCCCTCAATTTTGCCAGTGAGAGCTAGATGTTCAAGACCCTTATGTCAATTTATGTTTCCCAAAAACTGCATTTGTCATTACCTGATTGTTTTTAACATTGAGCGTCCTACGTGGGCTTCATCAAGCACTACCTCATTTGGTTTCTTTTCCTTCCACGATACTCTTAGCAGTTTCCTAAGAAACCACATTTCTGTTGCTTCTATTTTATTTTCATTGTCTTTAGTGATTGTCCAGCATTCACAGCCATATAAAATCACAATGCATACCAAAATTTAGGTCATTTTTTTCCCCTCTCTAATGGCGGGTAGTGCGCATGAATATCTAGAACATGTAAACTAAGCGAAGGCTTGCGCATCCACACCCTTTCGTCTTTTTGGAGAGCAAACTTGTATCGCCAATTTCTGCTCTAGGCAAACCTAGATCTATTTCTTGAAGAAAATTCTTGCTCAAAGCAGAGGTGATTTTGTTTTGAAGACGTAATATAAACACTTTGAAGCTGTTCTTTTATCATAGCTGCGTTTGTGAGTAGCGGATGTGTTGTGTGGTCATCTCGAAGCGTAGATCTATCTATCTGAAACAGAAACAAAGGGGAAACTTTAAAGCCGTTTTTCTCAAAACTTTTTTTCCGTACCGTGCGTTTCAAAATCACCCATATCTAAAAAAAAACTACTAAAGAAATCTTAAAAATTCAAAAAGCATATTGTTCAGAAATGATCTCTGTACATGGACATGCAAAAAAACTGGGATTCTTCAAAATGCGTCATTTGTACCTTTCACCAGGCACACACATATTTGTGTGTGTTTGTTTTGGTTCAATTTAGTCCTGCAACTGCTGAATATATGTGCTCTTCATTTATGGGAAAAGCAATGCACTTAGGGTTATACCTCATCAGATGTGTCACTCAGAACCTGCAAATGATACATTGTGTACTTAAGGGTGGTAAGAATGTAGATATTTTCATTGCTTATTATAGAATGACATAAAGCACTAGCATCTGCATTAGGTAGAATGTTGTGGTCTCCTCACTTTTTCATTGATCAAAGTCACACAGTTTTGGCTTCTGCTGTCGTGGTGTTGGCCTTTGTATTTTCTTCATAAGTTAAAAGTAGTGAGAACCTGTATTTTAAAAAATTTTTAACTTAAATAACACTTTTGGAGTATACGTTTGGTTTGTGTGTTGACATCTTGGCAAGGCAGGATCAAGCTACTGGCAGATGTGTGTGCTTTTCATGCCTGCATGTGAAGCCAGACACTTCATTTCCCAAAGTGACATTTCACAGATATGAGCAAAATCTCTCCGTAACTGAGCAGCAATTCAACTGTACCCTCCTGTGATGCTATGCATAATGTTGTGAAGGGTAACATTCTTAATCTCAGTCCAAAAGTTAACACATTTTGTGCTTTTTGTGCTATCTTTTCTGTCTGTTCAAATTCAAATGTAGCTAATTTATGTTTTTGAAGGAAAGGGGGTGTGTGTGTGTGGTGGGGGGGGGGGGGGGGATATGAAGGAAGAAGTTTTACTTTTCTTAGATTCTTAAAATAATATGAATTTGGTGGCTCTAGGAGAGGAATGACAAGAAAAAATATTTCTATGTGTATCAGGTTTATGTCATTATTTCCTTTCCTGTATAACATTATTAAGGGAAAAAGAAATAACAACATGTGCAGGTTTTCAGTAATCCAACTTTATTTTGTTCTTTTAGAGAAGTTGAACATTTCCACGTGTTGTAGTACAATGTGGAAAATATGTAAACGTGGTATTTAAATAAGCAAACCTACACTGGAATCTGCTTAAGCCTAACACAGTCATCAGAAAACAATGGTACATGGAAAGAAAACGAAATCCATTGTTTATTTCCTTCTATTTGAGCAACCTCTTAAAACTAAAAACCTGGCTAAACCCAACAAAATTAGGTGATCTCACAGATTTTGGTTAAAGTGTACTCCACTGTAGTTCATTATTCTTCAGAAGGGCTCTGATAGTTGGCCATTGGCACTTGAATATACTTCAAGTCTTTTTGAAATTATTTCCACTGGAAGTCTGATGGCTTTTGAAAGTGATGGACTCTCCAGTACACATTTTCACTTCTTATTTTGTCTGAAAGTGGCTTAATGATGTACTAAACAAAATTATCTGTATAGTTTGTTTAAAAAGTGTATGGAACTAGAAATGTGAAGTTTTTAACCTTCTAGTCACGGTTGTTAAGGTATCTTGCAAAAAGAAAATATTTGTTGTATATAAGTTCCCTTCTTAATCCGGACAGAAATGCATTAAAAACTCCTATAAAGTGTTAAGTAGCTTCCCAATATGGTGTTTGTCTGTCAACCCTAAGGTCCACAGTTCAATCCCTTCAAGTATCATGGGTTTTTACTCAGTTTTTCTACACGTCCTGATCCTAGGGTAGGTAGGATTGATCACTTTGTCTTCTTGGATAAGGATGAAAAATTTGGAAGGTGCATGCTATGTGGAAGTTTCACTCATTAAAGATTCCATAGTGGTTTTAAGATTGAAAAGAATAGGCTCTTTTTGTTCGCCTTCTGGACAAGAATTTAAAATGAATTCCAACCCAAAAGCTGAAGGCACTCTCATCAGTATAGATATTAAGACTACTTTCATAAACGGTACTTGGTTGACTTTCTGGCAAGGCATGATTCTGCATTCTTGGTAGATAAATGACTGTATATAATAATAATAATAATAATAATAATAAATAGCATTTGTATAGCGCATATCCCCGCTCAACAGCAGGCTCTATGCGCTTTACACTATATTATTACCCCAGCAGACCATAGAACACTCCGAAACATTCTCAGCTTCCCAGGAAGCATACAGTGCAAGCAGCTGATTAAGCGCTTAAACACAAACAAACTGATAAGATCTTTCGCTGTCTGTAGCCGGGTACCCATTCCCACCTGGGTGAAGAGAGGAAAATTCGTGTAAAGTGCCTTTCCCAAGAACACAACGTCGAGCCCCTGACGGGATTCGAACCCACGACCTTACGGTTGCGAGTCTGAGAGCCTTACCACTAGGCCACCGACCATATAGAATCAGCTGCACTGTGGGATGAAGATCTTACAGTCAGTTACCTCCTGAACTCTATCAGGGGTATGTGGAGAAGAAGAAAAAGACTCCTATGATTACTGAATTGTCAAAGTGGTGCCCCTTTACGGTGATACTGTTGTGAACATTTACCTTTGTTTTTGTCTTTATTTTTGGTGAGTCAACAATGTGGAGGTGGACAACAAAACCGTGCTGTGTTCAATGGATTTTTTTTTTCTTATTGTGTTGACCCTTTTATTTGTTTTTGATTTATCAGACTTGCTCATTTTCTGTTTATAAACATGGTATTGTATATGTGTATAGTTATTTATTGGAAAAGTAATAATTTTCATTCTTTTTTGTCAAGGGCACAAGGACAATTATAGACAATACAGACTCTGGCCTAGGGGTTGTTCCCATCATCACGGGCTACGAAGGCTTTGTCGACTGTTTCCGTGGGATACTGGCAGAGGAAGGAATCCCTGGTTTTTACCGTGGCTTTGGTGCTTTGGCTTTACAGTACGGGATACACGCCATAATCCTGAGAATGGCCATGTTCCTGTTCGATAAGCTTTCCAAGGAAGTGAGGCGAAGGCAGGAGTTACAGAGACAGTCAAAAGGCTCAAGCTCATATCGAGACTTGAAACTTGCAGAAAGAGGAGATGCTTTATAACAGGTAATGCATTTTTTTGGGTTATTTGATCGTATAATCCTTGTGTTGGTGTCATGAATCACCTTTTAGAGTGATGTAATTTTAAAAAATAATATGAATTAATTAACCAGTAATGTACTCAGGGGCTCCTTTTATTTGGATATCATTGCAAAAGATTTTGGGTCATCGCATGTAAGCCTGTCAACATATACTGATACTAATTAGAATTTTCTTGTACCCGGGCAAATACTTGTGTGAGATGTTGGCCCTGAAGTATGTGTAAATGTTTCATTTATAAATTTAAAAATTATTTTTTTGGGGGGGTAAGGGGGGGGGGGGGAATATTCTGACATTGGTTTATCACTACTTTGTGCATGATGTGACGTGTAGTAGCCTTTGTACTATTGTTTGATCCGCTTTGGTTTTTGTGTAGCTACATTTTTCTACACTGATGTAGGTTTTGATAAGTGTGGACTTGCCAGCCTTTCTTCTCTATTAGACCGGATGCTGCGGACTGGGCTAGTGAATTGAAGAATACTACTTTTAATTGACTGTATAGTGTAATACTTATGTTTGGATTCAGAGAGTTTTCTGAGTTTGTCCGACCCGTTTTCCCATTTCTTCACCTGAAATATTTATAGAATCTGTTTGATAAATGGAGTCCATCTAAGGGTTTGCTGTTTTACCCTATCCGTACGCCCTGCGGTCATTTTGTACCCCCGGTGTTGCATTCTGCACATTTTAGAATACTTGTAGTGCAAAGATCTCTTTGACACTTTCAATATTTCTCAAAAAATAATTTTAACAGACTGCTATGCAAAGCGTACAGATAGGATTAATGAGTAAATTTCCTCTTTGGAAAGTGGTGGTACAGAGTTCCCCTCATCATATGGATACGATAGTAAAACATGACGTTCTGATAGGGTTAAAGATTTGTATTGTACAGTCAACTTCACTTGTGTTGAAGTCACTTGGGTTAATCTTTGGTTAAATTGATCTTTGTCTCAAGTCCCAGCAAGTCATCTTCTTTACGTTTGTTGCTGCCGTTTTTACCACAGTACTGAAATAAAAATAATATGAGCAATGGGAAAGATTTTGTCATGTCATTATGTCCCTTGATTTTGTGGTCCCAATTGTTCAGTTGAACTTTGGAAGAGTTGATCTTTTATTCACTCCCCCAACGTCATCAACTCATCCATAATGGACTGTAGCTGCGTTCTGTCCAGAGTATGTGACAATCATTGTTTATTGTTTATGTAATATTCCTTTGCAGGTGGAGAATCATTTAGAACTGTTGCTGAAGTGACCATTACTCAGGTCTGTATGAGCATTCTGGCTGTGCACTGACATGATGGTGGATTGCTCTCACATGCGAACTTCATCACTTGCAGCTCAAGAGTTTAACTCATTGAGCTGAGTAAATCAAACTATCATTGTGTAAAATGTGAACTTATGTTTGCATTAGTTTTGTAGGACATCATTGTAATTTTTGTGTTTTGTCTTGCAAGTTGTTGTTTTTTCTTTTAACTCATCTTTGACACAATGAATTTGTTTCTTTGACATAGACCCATTTTGTTTTCAATTTATCAGACGTTGCTCATTTTCTGCTAATTGATATGCCATGAACATGTTTTTGTTTCCTAAGTTGATTGAATTACATTTTATGCAATGCCCTTGATAATGATATCAATTGTATATTTGTATACTATTTTTATCCCCAGTAAAATGTTTTGCTGCTTGCATAGTTGTCTTTCACTTGTTCAGTAAATTCCATGTGTATCCAGTTATATTCTTATTCTGTTGTGAACTTATCCTACACAGGTGCATGGGATGGATGCAGCATCCATTTAAGTCTTACAGATTTGCTGACAGTAATGTGTTTCCCACATTTCATATTGGCAATGTGATAGATATGTTATTCGAAGCTTAATGAGCCCAGCTTATTGAACTGAACATCAAAATGTCGTTTTGATTGTCAAAATGAGAGTCTGTACACTGTCAGTGCTTTGTGAAAAAATGTGCAAAATTGTATAGGTTTAACGCCCCTTGCAGCACTGTAAGGCTAGGTTTGCTTTGTGTGTCTGTTTTCGTAATGTTATATATGCAATAGTAAGTGTGGCTGCTTTGAGTAATGTTGTTGTTGTTATTGATCCAGCTTTGAGTAATGTTCACTGCCAAAGTTTGAACTGTTCACGTCTCAGATGTTTGCTGAACCCCTCATTGTTTGTGGGAGACATTTTTTTTCACACTCTCTCTTTGTGTGTTATGTGCAATGTTATGTAACTCTTTAAGTCTTATTGTACATAGTACTTCACAGGTAGTCACTGAAAAATGCCTATACATAGAGATAGTCTTAATGTAGTGTCGTTATAATTAAAGCCAGATTTTTAAATTTGGGGTAATATGGTAATATGGTATGGTGTGCCTCTCAAGGAACTGAGTTTGGGCAGCAAAAAATGTTTTAATGTAAAGCCAGAGCTTTGGTAAACTGCCTCTTGTTCATGAGAAAGTCCCAAAGATATGAACGTCGTAGTATTCTTTTGCCTTTATCTGACTTAATATGCTTTAGGATAAGACATATTTAGCTTGTCTTAGTATAATAAACGTTTGTCATTGATGCTTGTGACTTTTCAAGAAAAGTGAATGTGTACAACTGCTGACACAAGCAGCACGTCCTGATTCTCCAGAACTTGTTTCTTTTTTGTGCTTTCTGTTTTTCTTTTTTTTAATGACAGAATGATTTGAATGAACTTCCTCGTATATCCTTGTAGACGAGGGAGAATATTGTTGCCCTGGGGTGGTTGGTTTCTTCTTTCCTATCAAACATCTATCGTCCTTATCTGTCCTCCTTCTTTCCTATCAAACATCTATCATCCTTATCTGTCCTCCTTCTTTTTTGTGTTTGTTACTCTCTTGTATCACCTCAAATTTTTGGCACTTATATATGACCTAATTGTTTTGCAAGTGCCGTAAAATACTTACTAAAACAATTGTTGCCATGGTAGTTGTTGAAGCCTTTGTTGGATTGATTTGGTCTTGTTGGAACAATACATACCCAGTCAGTTTCTTAAGAGAACAGCTGAAGTGTTTTTGTTTCATTTTCATGTTTCCTTGTATGTGTGTATTCATACTTACACAGAAATAAATATTAGCTGGTAACATAGAAAATGGGCAATGTTTTTCAGGCACTTTAATAGCAGTTGGGCCAAATTGAAACAAAGTGGGCAATAGTCTCGTGTATAAGAGTGGGAGAACTCATGTTGAATGTATCTTGTCTATTGTCATTTGTTCTTTGTATTTGTCTCTCTTCTATAATGTTTTGTGAAGATAACGTTTTATCATCTGCTACTCTCAAGTGCTCTTGTGAGCTACATTTGTCATTTTTTTCCATTTCGTATTTTCTTGATGTTAGCATTGTATACTCAGACAGCAGAAACTAGTGCTGACTTTTCTACAGTTTTATGAAGCACATATTCTTTTGCATGCAGAGAAGGGTAGTGTGTGGTGCTTAGTTAAAGTGCCTTCTCTCAGTTATGTAGGTGACTGAGTGGACATGACACAAATATATTGACCTTTGTCCAACCCTTAGTGTCAGTATCCTTTACTTTACATTCTCGTAAAAGGCACTTCTTTCCCATCTTTACTTACTTACTGTCATGTTCCTCTGTTACGTGTGAAGCTCTGGTTGGAGGATGTACAAGCTTGTGCCTTCCCATGTGAGCAGGAAATATGTGTATGAATATTCAGTTGCAACAGGACTATGTCAAAATAATGGCTAATGTGCTTATAATAAATATAAAGCATGCCTGAGAGATTAAGTTTGATACTGTGTGTTTGTTATTGATGTTGTCTTTCATTTGATGCCCGCCATTGTAAATGTTTGGAGGTTGCCATTAAAATGATTTTACCAGCTGGAATCTCTAATTCTGTTTGTTTTATTGAGTCCTGAATTGTATCGTCTGGGCTGAATTTGTATTTTCTGTTTAAAAGCACTTATTCGTTTATTCTGTAGCCATCAGTGATGGGAGCACCCTCTATATACGACATGGCAGCCTGCGATCTGCCCCCCTCCCCCCCCCCACACACACACAAAGCCCTCTTTGTTCGCTGACTCTGTGAGGACATCACTAACAATTAGTGAACTTGTCCATTCTGGGATGTTGTCCTCCCATCTATTTCCCTGTCTGCCTTGTTCACCCCCCATGTGTAGATGGTTGCAGGGCACACTGGTTTTTTCCCCTATTATATGTTTGTCTGTCTTTTCTTTACCTTGCACTAAATGACGGTTATTATGTTGATGTGTTTCTCTTTAAAAACTAACGCAACCTGGCCCTCCTTGTTCTCGGCCATGCAGGAGTGTCTTGGCAGAGAATGCCTTTGTTAAGGTGATCGTGAGGTGTTTCCATTCCTGTTTCGTTTGACTTTTTTTTTTACTGTGGTCAAGAAGTTTGCTCAGGGTCTACGACTTGCCCGATTCTGTTTTCTTGCTGGTGTTTAGGGGGTGCTTTGGTTTTGGTGTGGTTTGTTCTTTCTTTCCTATCAAACATCCATCGGGGGACTCTCGTGGCCTAGAGGTTAAGGTGCTGGCCTCTCATTCTAAGGTCCCAGGTTCGAATCCGGGTAGCGACCGGAACATTTTCTTCTCGAAATTAGTCTTTTTTTCACCTCCTTTCCTGCTCTCTAGCACTGTTCTGTCGTCTGCTTTCGTCTCCTTTTTCTGCCCCCACCCCGTCACCTCATTTGCCCCCACCTCTGGGCTCCCGACTTTTTATGCAGCCTTTATACTGCTACTCATTGGCTCCTTACTGCTGCTTTTTCAGCCACACCCCTGATCTTCTGGTAGGAAAGACCTACACCTAGCTTCTCGGACAAGTGCGAAAAATCTCGGAGGGCCCGTGTGCAAGTTGCGCACGTTAAAGATTCCTTGGTGGTCTAAAATCGATAAGAGTAGGCTTCGGCCGCCACCCGGGCAAAATTCAAAATTTCCTACCAATTGAAAATGTTTGGTGTGTCCCGTGCGCTCATGTGACCTTACGCAGCTGCGAGCGCCGTAAAACACTTACAAAACTAAACAAAACATCCATCGTCCTTATCTCCCCTCCTTTTTTGTTTGTTACTCTCTTGTAATGTCACCTCTAATCTTCGGCACTCATATAACCTTATTGTGTTGCAAGTGCCGTAAAACGCTTACTGAAAGAAAAACAACCGGTTTTATTCTTCTTCGTTGACGATTGGGTCTTTGTTGGAGGTGTTCAAGAGTTTGTAAAAGCATCTAGTTATTCTAATCTGTACTGTAAGACATTTATCCTCTTCTCAGTGTCTGCTATCAGAATCCACAGTTCACGGCATACAAGAGATAACCAAGGGGCAAATGAGTCTAATAATTGAGCCGAGATCGATGTTGCTCCAAACGGCCTTCAGTTTTGTCACTGCTGTTGCTGTGTTATCAGTTGAAAATAAACGTAGAATTAAATCAGACTTTCAGTCTCAACCTTATTAGCCGCTTTAAGGCTTGGTGTAGTGACAAAGCTGGAGAGAGAGAGAGAGAGAGAGAGAGAGAGAGAGAGAGAGAGAGAGAGAGAGAGAGAGAGAGAGAGAGAGCAACTGTGACTTCTGCACTTAATTAATTAAGAGCTCTGTTTATTATTTTGATTGCTCACGGAATGTTATACATGTACCTTCTCCGTCCAATCTCACTGAATGGAGTGCATGAAAAAACGCCCTTTCGCCCTTTCTCGTAGATAAAACGGGCGCCGAAGTACACATTGTCGCCCACTCAGCCGCTTCTCAAGTCTGTAAAATAATAACTCCATATTATGTATCTTCCTAGATCTATGAGCTCGTATGTAAGGTTGTTAGGTACGGAACATTTTAAAAAGTTTGTACTCTGTCCATGTTCGTTTTAGATCGAGGCTCAGAACACCCACAGCATTACTGCTAATAGTCTACATGTAGTCATTTTTCATGAGAATTGCTTGATCAGCTTATCTGTCTGTTAGTCATTAAAATGATTGAGTTAATCAAGGACTTAACAGAGGTTAGAAACAACTTCTGAAATATGGCCTCAAATCAGCAAATTGCTCGTCTAAATTCTGTGCGAACTAACTTTATGGTCTGCAGGTTTGTCTCCTGTTTTGTAACGGCCTTGCCTCCCCCTCCCCCCCCCTCTCTCTCTCTCTCTA